TTTGGGGACCATTTTGATGTTCCTTACCGGATCGAAACCGCTGGTGTCCGTTGTTGGCCTCCGACCACCGCCTAATCGTAATACTTCTAGTTCATGTTGTCTCTGTCTTTCTTTTTCTTCTCTCTCTCGCTGTTTCTCTTCTCTTTCTCGTTCTTCTCTTTCTCGTTTCTCTTCTCTCTCTCGTTCTTCTCTTTCTCGTTCTTCTCTTTCTCTTTCTCGTTCTTCTCTCTCTCGTTTCTCTTCTCTTTCTCGTTCTTCTCTTTCTAATTCTAAACGCCTCATCGGCAATTCCTTTTCTTTTAATTCTCGTTCCATTTCTAATTTCTTCCATTCTATTTCACGATTTATCTCTAGGGCGCGCATTTTGACAGTAAGAAAGCTAATATTAAGCTCACCTGCATCACTGTCAATGTCACTGCCCTTATCTTCCTTTTCCGTGGAAGCTATTTCCTCACCTTCCTTTGTACTAGGAGTCTCGCCTTCCTGTTTCTCCTCTGCCTTCAAGTGCCGGTGAACCTTGGACAAGATCTCCACACGGGAATCACTGGCACGGATCTTGATCTCCACACGGGAATCACTGGCATGGATCTTGATCTCCAGGTAGGCGCTCACTAGTACAAGTTCCGGTTTGCTCAGATACTTTAATCTGGCAAGACAGTCCACTCTGTTCAGAAAAGCCTGAACATCGTCCAGATCATCGATGGTAGCTTTTTCTGCCATTGTCACAGATGGAACACTCAACTAGCACTTAACACACTGCTTACACGTTAGCACTTAATGCACCGAGCACTGTTCTACGCCAATATTGCACTTTATCGCACCAAACACTGCACTTGCCAATATTGCACGTAATCACTTCGGGCACCGCACTACGCAATATCGCACTTAATCACAGCGAACCCTTCGCTCTACAATATTGCACTGAATCACTGAGCACCGCACTAGTCAATATTGCACTTAATCGCTTAGTCACAGCGAGCACCGCACTGCACAATATTGCACTTAGTCACTCTTGAGCACCGCACAGGACGTATAACGTCACAATCGTCCCACAGAGGGGGAATTATATACAGGGATTACGCCACTTCACCACCCCTGTCAAACATACTTATCAAGGGGACGGATCCCGCTGGGGATGCCAATTATGTTACCGCCCTCTCGGGACGCAACGGGGTTCTTACTCTGATGTTGTTAGAGGAAGTTGTATCCGACCCCAAGCTAGTAGTGGCTTTCAAGGGATGAGATCCGTGACGCAAGTAACTTAAAGGGGAAGGGAAATAAAGTCAAGAACTTAATATAATATATTGACCATCACCAATAAATAATATATAAAAAGATTACACGGGGGGGAGAGGTATTAACCCTGTACACAAACGTCTTCTCCTGAAGACTCTGGAATCAAGCTCTCGGTGCTAAGTCTTCGGTGCTTTCGTGGCCTCACAACGAATCCTCTGAGAAGCTGAGCCTACCCTGGCCACAGGTCAGCCAAAACACAGGTCCACTGGGGGCACCGCCGTGGAGGCCGTCAACCACAAGTCCAGCAGGTCTGCTGGCAGGTTCCGGATCAGCAACGCTGGTCAGGCCACTCCACGGGCGATATTAGGGTAACGCCCTAGACAGGAGCCTCGTGTGATACCACAAATCACTCTCCTGTCCTCAATACCCCAGTGGATAATCGTCTCCAGCAGTCGGTCCCGGGTAATCCTTCTACTGCCACTCCACTGGCAGGGTAACACCACAGTGTTCTTCCGGGGGACGACTTCACAGCTGCTGCAGCAAAGCACAAGGTATGGAGACGGCTGCCTTGGGTAGACTGCCTCAACTTCCATCACAGCAGTCCCAGGTCGACTCTGTAAGCAGACACGTCATCAATAACAGGGACACTAAAACACCTCACTTACGGGCTCAGGCACAAACGCCCGACATATCCACTCCATAGATGGCGCTGTAGTCTGAGCACCACCTCACCAGAGGTCAGGAGCGGCTGTGTTGTGAGCTGCACAGGACTGGAAACTGGCCCTTGTGGCCAGTACACGTCATCCTCACCAGGTGTCGTCGTCCGTTTGGAGGGGGTTTCGGGAGCTGACCCACAGATGGCGCGGTCGTCACTGCTCCGTGCTCGGACGCTGGATCCGGGTTCGTAACACCCATATGAGGCAGTTCTGATTTATGTCCTCCCAAACTCATTCAAATATATGTTTGAAACACTCCAGGGATTCCACATCTATTATGTTTCTGGGAAACTCGTTCTGTAAACCATAACCCTTTTTCCTTACCAGTATTTACCCAGGCCTCTCCTGATTTAAAACTGATCAAATTTAAATCGTAAGTTTTCATGGTTTTTAAATAAGTTTTGTGTTCCCTTTTTGCGTTGATATATTTAAAGCCTCATATACCTCCCCTCTTCTTATTCACTTTCATCAATTTGTATTCTTCTGTTGTCTCCTCTTACTGTTCGTCTTTCTAGTTAGTGTAAAGTAAGCTTTCTTGGGATTACCTTTATCATCATTTTATTTGTGTTCACATAAATATATGCTCATACTATTGTATAAAAAACAAACTGAACTGCATTAATCTAAGTGTGGTCTAATAAAGACAATAAAAAGTTGAGGAATATTATTAGAATGATTTGCAAATGAGTCTAGAAATAAATCCCAGTATCCTATTTACTTTATTTCCTATATTTATACATATAATTCTTGGCTTAGTCCTCCTAGTATCTCCTAATCATTTTCCCATTCAGATTTCGTAATTTCAAAACTATCTAGCTGATATCTGGTAACTGATCATTTGCTACAGAATTATTATTTAAAGCAAAAAACTACATCTGCAATTCTTTTATCCAATGTACAAGACTATCTTGATCGTTTTGTAACTGTTTTGATTGTTACAAGTCGTTCTTCTAAATTTACTTCACAGAAAAAGTCCACAGGACCCGTGATGAGGATTCGAACCTATGTGCTAGGTATTCGTAAATGCACGCTCTATACGACTACACCACGGCATGGTCAAAGGAATTACAACCAAGTGTACTTCTCTACACTCCAGGATTCCTAAAGCTTCCACTGAAGCGGGACATGAGTTCCACAGAATCCCTCCCCCCTCCCATGTACTCTGGATCTGTCGTCCATTAACTCTACTTCAGACGATCCTCTTTCAGTACACAGAAAAATCATTTTATTATGATGCTAGCTGTACCCGCCACGCGTTGCTGTGGCTCAGTCTGGATAAATGGAAAAGAGAGAAAAAAGAAAGTACACGTTTCTAATATGTTTAATTTTACAATGCTTGTGGGTATACAATACTTTTTGTTGTTCCATTGTCTGTGGAAATATAGAGATTATCTGGTTTGCCAACTCTAGAACACACAACATATAATTGTCCATGTGAGAAGCAATCCGTGTCTTCATATAGAGCGCATAATTCTAAAGATTGACCCTGAGCTTTGTTGATGGTTATCTTGAGGTTATCTTGAGATGATTTCGGGGCTTAGCGTCACCGTGGCCCGGTCCACGAACATCCTTCCATTTTATTATCCTCCCCAGGAAGCAGCCCATAGCAGCTGTCTAACTCCCAGGTTAGACAGCTAGCCTGAGAGTTTTACTGCTAGGTAACAGGGGGGCATCAGGGGAAGCATTTACTGCTAGGTAACTGGGGGGGGGGACAGGTTGAAAGAAACTTTTTGACCCATTTGTCTCCGCCTCCACCGGGGATCGAACCCGGAACCTCAGGACTACGAATCCGAAGCGCCATCCACTGAGTTGACAGGCGCCCTGCAATGGTTATTGCAAACGCCAATCGAATTGGAAATTATAATCTAAAAATGAGATGGCATATCCGTTGGAATCATAAGAATGAGACGAATGAGGACATCTTCACCTTTGAAAGTTCCTGTCAAAAGTGCTGCTTCTACGACGTTCCTGATTATTTTTTTTACTGCAAGCTGCGTGCCTTTGCAAAGCTTAGTCTGGTTGATATCTCACAACATGATAATTGGCACGCCGATTTTCAATTGCTGCTGTACGTGCGGTGGTATCCCTGGCAGATCCTGAATTCAAAAAATCTGTTGGATCATTAACCGCTTAATCTGCTTCCACAACAATGTCGACGGATTTGTATGTGACTGCCTCGCTTTGGATGTTAGACTGAATAATATTGTTAAGTTCGTAGACGTTTTTGTTCTTGGCCGCAAGAATAGCTCGTTCACTCAGGCAATCGTAATCCTTATAGTTGGTTTAAATATTGGGAAATAGTTTTTCAATCAATTATAATTTTGACGTCACTAAATTGCAGGAGTTATGAGGCAATGAAACTCGTCCTGAGGTCAGATCAACCGGCACGTTTCCGTTCCCAATATCCTGAAAATAATGTGAGAATATCTCAGCTGATGGATCGTTTTCAGCTGGACACGCACATTTATAGTTAATTTTAACGTCTTTCCATGGCTCCACAAAGCAGAGCTGTTCAGGCAAGCATTTATTTCGTCCGCTAGTGGCGATCGAGGAATTACAGGTAATGTTTGCCTGAATTCTCCTGCAAGCAATATTAATGCGTACCCAAATGGTCTGATGTTTCTACGCAAATCTTGCAATGATCGATCAAGAGCCTCGAGCGATTTTTTGGAATCCATTGTGCATTTTTCCCAAACAATAAGTTTGCATTTCTGCAATACTTTTTCCATGCCGGATGTTTTGGAAATGTTGCACGTGGGAGTTTCAATGAATTGCATGTTCAATGGCAATTTCAAAGTCAACTGAGCAGTTCTTCCACCTGGTAGCAAATTGCAGCTATTCGACGCAAGAGCTAAGACTATGCCATTTTGGAATAGAATTGCTGCCAAAATCAATCTAATTAGGAAGGTTTTACAAGTTCCTCCTGGCGCATCTAAGTAGAAGATTTCTCCAATCCCATTATTATCAGTTTGAATTGTTTGATCATAAATGTTTTTTGCTCATGTTTTAGCTTTGGAAGATTTGATTGCATACACGACAACAGCTCACCTGTGTTGTAATTTGGTACACGACGCAATTCTGTAACGAACGAAGCAGCAGCAGATGGATTCGGTGATGTCATTCCCAATTAAATGAGAACTTTGTTCGCGATTTCTAAGCTAAAATATTGAATCATTATCCACGCTTCGTTGTAGATTTCTGCTGTGAAAACCATGATCATATTTGAAATTTCCTTGCGTATTCGACGGACAATATTTGAAGCCATGTGCGATTTATATTTCTCCCATAACTGTGTTGGAAATGGAGAGAAGCCGGTCAGTATGATTGCAAATAATGCACGAATTTGATTTTGTTGTGACGTGTTTGACGCGTCATTTATGCATACATCCCAGTGTCTGTTGTTCGACATTAAATTCACAACCAGAAATGCACTACGGAAAGAGGCATGTGTGACGCCGTTTGACAAATCTCAATTGCCGGAAAGACATTGAACCAGGCTCATTTACCAACAGCGCTCGACGGAAAAATCTTTCATCTTGATTGGGATGCATGGTATACAATCTGCCTATCGTAGATTGTTTGAATATGCCAAGTTGTCTGTCGACTCGCTCTCCTCGTTTGCGTCGTTCAAATGATTTTCTACTCGCATTCCATATGTAATACTTAGACACTTCCTCATACAGCAGTGTTTTTGCAAATGCGTCATTCTAACATAACGCGAAGAAAGCAGTTAACATTATAGCTGGTGGATTCATGGCTATTTGTTGCAAATATGCAGATGTGAAATAAACACGTTGTCCATTTTCTTGTTTTCAAAACAAAAACAAAAAATACTAACGAAATATTTCAATCCAAACACAGCTCAATCGACACAGCTCAATTCCACCGCCAACTGCACTGAAAAATAAGAACAGTTAAAAAAAGCGATATTAAAAAATAAAAAAAAAATATTAACTATACTCATTTCGTTCATACCGAAATGAACGGTATGGTAAACAACACACACCTCAATTTCAATGCAATATCACACAAAATAATTAAATCACAATGAAAATAAATCGAAATTCATGATATTAATTATCAATGCAATTTGAAACATTGAAATTGAACTGTAAGAAATTTAGTATTGCGTGTGTAGCTCTTACATGCAACAAATGGCACGGTTTAAAAAAAATAGCATGTTTTTACTTGTCACCGGTATTGAATCTATATAATAGGTATTTAAAAACATGCACGTATTCGAATGGAACATTGTATCAAAATTTTAAAGCAATCGGTGAAGAACTTTCAGAGATTACAGTGTGTGTTGCTCTCACATCCAACAGGTGGCGCTGTTTTAAAAAAACAAACATGTTTTTTCCTGTCACAGGTGAGGCATGTATTAAGTAGGTATTGAAAAACACGCGCCTATTCGTATGCAACGTTGTGTCAAAATTTCAAGCAATCGGTAAAGATGTTTCGAAGATTTCCTTCACATGAAAAACACTTGAAAAACACAGTTTTTCAAATAAAGCATGTTTTTTCCCTTCATACCTTCATAGACGTGACATATATTTAGGATGTATATAAAAAGCCGCTCAGATGTGACGGGAACGTTGTGTGAAAATTTGAAAGCAATCAGTGAAGAACTTTCGGAGATTAGCGATTTTGAAAAACGATCATATTCATTTTTATTTATGAAGATATCAAAATAATGATATATCTCACGGGCTATTTTTAATCATCTACAAATTTTCAAATGTTGCTTTTTAGCTCTGAGTCTTCGTTGCTTGGAGAACACCAGCGGTCCATGGACACATCCTCGGTCCTTTCCAGGGGACGTTCCGGGACGCGTCCAGGGTGACGGTCTGAGGACGCTTCCAGGGGGACGGTCTGAGGACGCTTCCAAGGGGACGGTCTGGGAACGCATCCAGTGGGATGGTCCAGGAACGCGTCCATAGAACGGTCCGAGGACACATCCAGGGGACGGTCCTGGGACACGTCCAGGGGACTGTCGGGGGATGCGTCCAGAGGCTGGTCTGGGGACGAGTCCAGGGGACGTTCCAGGGACGTGTCCACGGAATGGTCCGAGGATGTGTCCATGGACCGCTGGTGTTATCCACATATATAAACAACGAAGATTGGGTATCGAATGTATAATTAAAGCACAGATAATTCAGTAGAATCTCAGGATGTATAACGTACCCCTGTACCAAAATAACGTGAGCGGCTGACAGTACTCTAATCGCTGGTTCGACTCACCTAAGTTTCAGTTGATTTTCTCGTCGATATATACCAGATTAGTGTGATTTCTTTGTGTATGTGAAGCCGAAGCGTACTGTTGATGAACTACTTTACCTCCTCCAGAATGCTAGGAGGTAAAGCTGGGAATAGCTTCAGTGGAGGCCTCCAGACTTCCAGTGGATTCAGTGGCATCCCAGGTTGTATAACGTCCACGTTCATTTTATATGACGCTATTTAGCCTTTTGCTTGAACGTTTTTCTAATTTCTCCCAAAAATTCATAAAACCTTTTTCTTGAAAGGTCAGCAACGTTTGATCTGACAACGTTATGTATATCTTGATGCTCTTGATGGCCTGATGATAGTGGTCCTTGGTGCTTTGTCTGATCTGGTGTAACCAGCCATCTCTGGGGGGCCCAGCACCTCTCCATAGGTTATGCCAAAGGAGAGAGATCTATTTTATGATTCCCTTACGTGATCATTATAATTAGGTCTATAACTTCGTCTGTTTCCAAGAGGGGCTATTCTCCAACCCCCCATCCCCACTCTTAACGTACAGTGACATAGATGTTAAAGTCATTTAAACTGTTCTGGTGCATATTATGCTGAAGATTTGAGCAAAAAGACACTTGCATCAGTTGGAATTTGAATATTAAAGTTTTCCATTCAGCAAGTTTTTACATAAATCCAGGTCAACAACAGTGACCTTCTCCCAGATCAGAAGAGCTGTAAGGAGGAGAAATCAGTTCTCTCTGGCAGCAGCAACTCTGCGAGTGAGGTACACTGAAGGTGGCCATGATAGGATGATTTAGGAATAGATTGTCACCATCACTGAGTCTGATACCCACAGATTTGACCAGTTAGACCATCCTTAATTTTAAAATTCTCAACACGAGATCTTCCTCTCTCATGCATGATAGGAAACGGATAGTTAATATTAAATTCCTAATTGAAACCTAATTTTGCAAATGTTTTGCATCCATGAAAGCGCAAAAATTGATAAAAACGTGTCTAGTTCAGAAAAGCGCCATTAAAATTGCCTATCACCATGAGGTTAGCATCATGATACGAATTAACGAAGCGAGATATGTCAATTACCACATCTCTATACACATTTGCACTGTTGTTGTTGTTAGTGCTTATGAAACAAGACATACACACGTGTGACCAAATACTGTCTAGCACCATTGGTGACAAGTACAGCTGTAGTGCGCCCTGATACTGTATTGATACCGATCTATTCATCAATCTGTACCGCTATCGATCTACCTATTGATCTATTTATCCATCCACCTATCCATATAATTAAACATCTATCTACTGACTGTTTGCCTCTTTGTCTCTCTGCCTTCCTCGGTCTGTGTCTATCTATCTGTCTGTCTCTCTTATAAAATATGTAATTGTCTAATGTGTGGGTAGTCGCCAGGTAGCGGAGCTTAGTGGTGTGAATGACTAAATCCACACTAATTACTACTTACTCTGTATTACTTCATCAACGCAATCATAGCTAACTGTCATTGTTATGGTGTTAAGGCTCCTTGAAAGAAACACCAACGGTGCAGTAATCTCCACTGATTCAAAAGCAGCATTACAAAGCCTTAGTAAAAATCAAGCAGAAAACCTTGTGATAGGCGCTGACATCAGGAGTGCTGTGAGAGCACTAACCAATCAGGGAAGAGTGGAAAAATTCCTGTGGATCCCCTCCCATGTTAGAATCTGCGGAAATGAACAAGTTGATGTGCTGGAGGTTGAGGGGGCTCATGGAGACCATATTGAATACCCCATTCATAAGACTTCTACAAATTGGAGGTATCATTAGGCAACATTACTATGACCAGGTAAATGAGGATAAGAGAACAGAAAAGCAAATCACTCAATCTCCACACTGGTACAGTGTGGTTGCAGCTGGCAATTCATATCATTATAGAAGAAGGGGAGGTTGATGTGGGGAGAATCAGTAATAGTATGAATTCGCCTTGGATACAAATATCCATGGAGATTCGGGATGGAAAAAAAAACAGAGCAGCGGAGTTGCAGTATCTGTGGTGAGGGTCATGTGTTATACTCAAATTATATGGCGGTTGAGACATAACCAATCACAGGCGAGTAGGCCTCTGACGTCATGCCAGACAGAGGAGCACCAGCTATGCTTGCAGCAGGCCTCAGTATTCTCACAGACTCAGAGTAGGTTGGACCTCGGCTGGCCAGTTATACACCTTGTTGTCTTAATCAATAAAACTACAGAAGTGCCTACTGTGTATAACATTCAACCCGACAAGGCAACGAATACTGGTAGCAGCAGTGGGATCCAGAATTATTTTTCTGGAAACGAAAATTCAAGTACCCACATCGCCACATGTTCCAGCCGCCACCGCCGCCATCCTGCCACCCACACATCAAATATTGTGCCAGTCCGGGGTCCTGCCATCAACCACTACTCCAGGCCAACGTCTCAGAAGTAGGGGTCAATATTTTCCTGTGAGAACGCTAATTCATCAGTGAGGAGAAAGGAAGATTCCCGCGCCAACCATTTTGAATCTCGCGCCACGTGGGAACCTGCACCACCCACCACCACCGCCACCCAAGCCAATAGCATCAAGCTTTGTGAGTGTTCTACCTATTGAAATCGTGGTCAGTCATCGTCGCAAGTATCAACTGATCATTGTGTGTGTTGTACTGTTATTTAAGAGGAATTGATGGACTGCAAATGTCTGAATAATGTCGCCACCAGCTTATACACACCTCGCCTCCTCTCACCATCGCCACAGCCTCCTGCTACACCACTCTGCTGTGAACTCCTGCCTAGCAAATCGTGCTTCCTTCACCACCATCGACGCAATATCGTCGTCTCAAAGTTTATCTTCGCGCTCCCAACATCACTCTAGTGTGGGGTCTCCCGAG